TTAAGGAAAAATAATTTCTATTCCAGCACTCAAATTCTGGGATTTTTCTTCTATGTAATCCTAAGAAGATGATAATATCTGGCCAAAAGTGTTAGATAATGTAAAAAATACAAAGACATGATGATTCAAGGGGAACTAATATTGTAGAATCCCCAAATTTTAGTTCGCTTTTATTTGCTTCTCATACTGTTATCTTTTTCTGTTTCATGGAAACAAAGACTGCAAGTCTTTTCTGCCTTAGTCATTTGCAGACTGTCACTTCACACCCCTCATCTTGCTATCATTGAGGAATTCTTTTACTACTTGAGAAAGTTTTAATATTCAGCAGGTTAAGGAAACCCATGGTCAGCTTTAGAATTGTATTCTCTGCTGAGCTTTCAAGGTGTCAAGACCCTAAAATAATATGAACAGCCAGAGTACTAAATCTTTCATTATTTCCAGTTTCCCCGTGAGCATACTGACTTTGCAATAAAGAAGCTGTCATTTACACTCTTCTTTATTGCAAGGTGGGTAATAGCTACAGGGTGAAAAATAAGGAACTGTGTCAAGTTACCCTCACTGCCATTATGATTCATGTGTAATCATTGCACATTTGCATCTCCTCTGTTCACATACAGGTACTTCATAGATTGGAAGAGTGATGGGGAGAGCTACTTTACAATAGATGGAACGGAAGGAACCATCGCCACTAATGAATTACTAGACAGAGAGACCACGTCTCAGTATAATTTCTCCATAATTGCAAGTAAAGTTAGTAAGTATGGCATGGGCAGAATCAATGTTATACTGAAATTCTGTGGATTTAACACTCTTAAACGAGTCCCTACTGGGGTGTTTTTTATTTTTGGAATGACAGCTGAGTAGTCTCCAGGGGAAACTCAGAAACCTGTTCCTTTTCCTAATAGCATAAGTCCAGAAAAATTGTGACAGCTGCCAGAGAGTCCCATTTGCAAGACTGCATAAAAACCTGGAAACAAGTTTTAGTGTGTGACCTCACCACACTCAATTCAATACTCACATTTAGGAAAGTGTCAATTTCTCTTCCATAAATATTCCTTGTATCTATATCATTGAGAGTAATGTAAATTAGGAAGGAAGAGAAAAAAGTAGATTAAATCATTTATTATAAAGTATTTTCTGATTTTTGTGGAAGCATTTTAAAAAACTGTCATTTTTCCTTTCCCTCCTATTTCATGAGAACATGTGTAATTGAAGAATACTTGAAGAGGAAGGTTTTTTTCCTAGCTCATTTTTTATTTGATATTTTATTTACATTTCAGATATTATCCCCTTACCCTATTCCCCCCCAACCCAGGAACCCCTTATCCCATTGCCCCTCCTCCTGCTTGAAGAGGAAAGTTTTAAGGGTTCCTTTTGGGTACATCGCTTATAATATATAGACTGTTTGAAATTCCTTTTGCTTGCTTATGGTATAGAAGTTAACTATCTAGGCTCACAGTGAAAATAGAACTTCTTCATTTGATAAGGCACTAAGATGTTCCACATATACTGCAATTTCAGTGCAGGAATATGTAATACTTAACTATTGGAATGAGTGTATTCATGAGAGGCAATTGTCCCTATCCTTCTGTTATGGTCCCTTGAGAGTTTAGAGAAGTCCATTTGGAATATCTTCTATTTTTGTCTACCTTTTATTACTTCAAGCGCACCTGTAACAGATTTATAACTTTACATACCTTTTAAATAAATGAAGAACTACAAACATTTATTCTGTTCAGGAGTGGTACTCAGTGTCAACTAGTGTGGGTGTAACTTAGTAAGACTTATGTTGATGATTTTAAATGTGTGTGCATATGTGTAGAAGTGTGTACATGTTTATGTGTGCAAGTGTGTGGCAGAATATGTTGACATGTTCAAATTCCTCAGGAAACCCGAGGTCAGTCTCAGATGTCACAATCTGGGAGATGTCCACAGGGCTGGTTAAGGAGCATAGCTCATAGAAAGCTGAGTCATATTAACTAGGCTTTGTTAACTTGTTAATCCCCGAAACACCTGATTCCATATCCTCCTTAGTACATGCATGCTTAAGATCGAATGAAAGTCCTTGTTTCATCCAAAAAGAATGCAACTAACTAAATTATTCCGTAGACCTTAATTTGTTTACCTTTAACAATATCTTAGAAAAAAATGAGTCAAGATAATTCTCCATATCTCAAATATATCACTAAACATTTTATCATTATGAGTCTTCTCTAATTCATGAATGTAAATTGTGATATTTAATATTTATTGACAGATAGAGCTCATTATCACCTAACAGGTAAATCTCAAGTCAAGCCTTTAAAGGATTATGTAAAGTATGTTAGATTTTTGAAATATTTGAGTATGTGAGGGTTTATCTAAATTATCCAGTTTGATGATTCTGAATGATACACTTTGAAAGAACAGCAGCATCTCATTAAGTTGAATGCTCTATTAAAAGAACTCCAGCTGAGCATGAACTTGCTTTGATCTCAGCTACCTGACTGTTAATACAGTAAGACCAGCTGCCTCAAGCTCCTGCCATCATGACTTCTATGCAATGATCATCTGTATTCTAGAATTGTGAGCCAAAACAAGCCTTCTTTTCTCACATCGCTTTTGTTAGGGTATTTTATTAAGGTTATAGAAAAATAAATAAGTAGAAAGTTGATATCTAGACGTGAAGCCATTGCTGAAATAAACTGGAACATATGGTTGTTAGGTCTTTGTACCTCATTTGCAGGAAGACTGATGAAGGGTTTGGACTGAGGACAAAAGGGGTTTAATGATATAAGCTGAGTTTAATGAGCAAATATGGTGGGATTTGAAGACAAATTCTAAAGGAACGTAGATAGTGACTCAGCTCACAAGGTTTCAGAGTGGAACATGAGATATATCAGGAAGTAGGCTAGTGTATATTCATGCGATATTCTGGCACAGAATCCAGTTGTAATCTGCCTGGTCCTGAGACCTTGTGAAGTCAAGACTGATTATCGAAGACTTCATGTAGTAAATGTGCAAATTTACTTATCTATTCCCCAAAATCTAATTGCAAGTTTTAAATCTGTAATTCAGATTCAACATGAAATAAATTTATAGTTTATAAGCTGCGGAGAGGACCATGTTTCAAAACAGATTTTTTTGTTGTTGATGAGAAAAGTAAGAATAATGTTTAGTCAAGGACATCTCAAATTAGGGGTAAGTATAAATTATCTGAAGTAAAGATTTAGTAAACTAAACCACTAATATTTGATAAACTTTATGTCGTACAGATTTAGTTGTACAATAGAGAAATGTGTAAAGTTTATTAATAATGACAGATGCTGAATTATAAAGCATTGAAACAATAGGAAATTCTTCTGACAGAATTTTCTGAAATGTATACTCTTGAACATATAAATCAAAAATCTAATATTCTCACACACTATTAGAAAAAATCCACTATATTAGAATTATAAGCAACAGAAGAATGAATTACTTTCTGAAAATAATCTAATAACCATATGTCTGCATCCCCTATAGTCCTTGCATGGTTTTGCCCATGATGTTGAATTCATGAAACTGATAATCTGAAATAGTTAGTTGGGAGCCAAGTATCAGCTAGTGATAAGCTAAACTGAGACTTCACAATTCTCCACAAAAAGCACTTCCGTTGAACTAGACATTAACATTTTATAATGTTAAGAGGTGTGATATTTCTCTGTACATGGAGTAATGGATATCTTTTTATTATGATTTCTTCACACTAGTACTAGCACTTCTCAATATTATAACTATGGTTTTGTCATAATGAGAAATGTTTTCTGTTTATTTACTTGAGGGAGTTGTGTGCCTCACCTATGTGTGGAGGTTGGAAGACAGCTTTTAGGAATTGGTTCATTCATTATACCATGTAAGAGACTTTGGGAATAAACGTGGGCCATTAGCCTTAGCAGCAAGAAACTTTAACCACTAAGTCACCTTACAGGAACATCTTAGGTATATTAATATAAAACCAGATATCTGAATGTATGGAAGCCAATATAAATCATGATTTCTAGATATACTTTCCAGATATATGCATGTTAAGTACGTGCTCTGAACTAAAAAAAGTCCAATAAAATTTAAGCACAATGCTAGCTGCTACCTTGCACTTATGATGTGCACAAATTTGAAAAAACATAATCAAGTAGAATCATCTAACTCAACTATCCATATTGATTCAAATTTTAGTCGATAATGAGCTCTAAATGATATTATTACTTCAAATGATAAATTAATATGATTTTTCTTTATATTTTTGTATTTATATATTCATATGAACACACACATATATTCATATATAAACTAAATATTTTTTTTCTCTTTTATTCCATGGATATTAGACTTTGACTCTGTAGATCTAGGTAGCTTAGATATCATTTTCTAATTTTGTTTTACCCCCTACCAAGTAGTGAGTTATATGGAAACACTTTTGTATTCTCAAAGAAAGATACATTTGAATTACCATAAAAATGTCAACATTTAAGTAGTAGTTGGAAAAATAATACTTTAAGGAAAAAATCACTTATGAAGTTTTTACACTAATTGACCAAGAATTGCTATGAATTATGTCTATGGAAATAATAATTTTTAGCAACACAATAAACCACATTATTTTGGAAATTGTATCTTCTTATCATTATTATATGCTACAAAATTATGATTAATTATAAATTTATATTAAATTACTTCATATTCAATTTTAAAATTTTAGGTACTTATGAGAAGAATATAGCAAAGTCATGGTGTAAAAATCTGGTACATCTATCTATCTGCTCCACCAATTTTCATGAATAACCTTAATCCCAGGCTTTTCTTAATTATTATCTGGACTTATTTTGCAGTTAAAATTGCATGATTAATTTTGCACACAAAAATTGTTTTGGATTAATGTACATATTTTGGTGTTACACAATTTTTTAAGGGCTAAAATCGGAAACACTTTTACATGAGGATATTATTCTCTTGATATCATCTATCATTCTTATTCTGTTTGTACAGTGAAACTCCGAGTTAAGTATGAAATTCTAGTCATCAAACATTAGCTTTAAAAAATCACTTTTGTCCATGATGTATTTTACTTTCCAGAGTATAAACATTTTGAATTATTATCTATATGTGTATGTATAAATGGAGATAAATTCAAATGAAGCATATTACATAGACCACCTTACATTTCTTTCTTAAATCTGCTATTTATTAATATTTATTATTTTGCTAAGAATATAAGAGTAACATGAATGTTTATTTATAAATCCGGTCCTCAGTATATTTAACTTGTCATCACAGGTATTTTGAAAACAAGGTGATTTAAAGAAATTTTGTCAGTTAGCTCTTAAAAATGAAAAGCTGTAAAAATACCATACTCAAATTTATAACATAATGGGATCTTCCCAAAACTACATGAAATCTACTAGGTAACTGTATGATTACATGTATGAGCAGCATGTATACTAAACCCATTGAGATCAAAACTGACACTCGACATCATTGTTCTATTGCTATTATCCATGAGTCTATTATACGTCCAGTCTCCATAACACATCAAGTGTGGTGGTTTGAATAGACTTAGCCCAGTGAGTGAATAGCCTTATTAGGGGATGTGGCCTTGCTGAAATAGGTATGGCCTTGTTGAAGGACGTGTGATATTGTGGGGGTGGGCTCTGGGACCTGTGTCCTAGCTGCATGGAAGACCTTCTACTTCTCCAAACTTTGGATGAAGGTGTAGGTCTCTTAGGATATATTCCATCT